CCTCCTCCGCGGCCGGACCGCGCGACCCGCCAGAGGAGCCCCGCGCCGCAGCCACGTGGGCCCGGCCTAGGCGGGGCTCGGCAAAGAGCGTGAGTGCAATCCGTTCTGGAGGCGAGTCGAGCGTGCAAAAGGCTTGTCTTGTTAGCGTCCGGATCGTAGTCACTAACTCAGTTCTGACTGCTGATCTGGCGCAGCACCGTCCAGAATAATCGGAGCCGCTTGTGTAGTTGTAATGTCTCTAGTAGCCAGGTTAGCGCAGGCAAAAAGAAGCAGGTGAAATTAATTTAATCAGCTATTTCATTTACTCTAATACATCCAAAGTATTATCAACATGTAATCAATATAAAGTTTACTGAGATATTTGACATTCGTGTGTGTGTGTGTGTGTGTGTGTGTGTGTGTAAGATCTAGTCTTCTTAGCAAGTTTAAGGTTTCTCATGCAGTGTTGTCCGTTACCCCTATGCTGTGCGCTGGATCATTCCAGGACTTATTTATCTACAGTTGCGAGTTTGAACCCTTAAACAGCCTCTCTCCTGTTCCCCCGCCCCCAGCTCCTGATAACCACCGTTCTCGTCTCTGTTTTTATTAGTTATGCTCTTTTAGATTCCACATAGATGTGATATCGCACAGTATTTGCCTTTCTCTGTCCGATTTATCTCACTTTACAATATTTTTTTTTCGCACTAAGCCTTTAGATTTCAGCGTGTTTTACTCTGACATTACATCTCAGTTCCCGCTGGTCCCATTTCAAGTGCTCAACAGCTCTGGGTGGCTCCTGGGCTGACAGTAATTGAACAGTGCGGCTCTCAATTAGCACCAATTTCTCGTCTGCATGAAAAGCTGCACCTATGAAGTTGAATTAATAGGAGAGTAAGGATTTTGAAAGGAAAAGGTCATTTGGGATCTCCTGACATTTGGGACAGTGAGTGTTCACACTCAGGCTGAAAGGTTGTGAGCAGTGTAAGGGCCTCTGGACCTGGTACCGATTTGCTTTTGAATCTTGCTGTTACTCTCCATGGCAGATGGTTTTTTTAGTCTCTCCTCTATGGCCAAGGGTCTGGTGCGTCCTTTGAATGTGTTTGCACTTTTGGAAAGCAGGGTTGTGAAGTGTTAATAATGTGGAAACAAGTAGCTAAGGAAACTTGTGTGTAGTTATCCCAGTGGCAAAAATGGGACCAGATCTCCCTAATTCCAAGTTCTGCTTTGTTTTCACTGTGCCATGTGACCTCATAAGAAGTAAAATGCCTCATGCCAGAGACCTGATTTTTTTTCAGATTGTTTACAGAAGAGGCTATAAGATTAAACTTTCCTTCAACCTCTTTTCTATTCAAGTGGGGCTATCTGGGGTTGCTCAAAGTCAGAGAAATCACAGTACTTTGCTTTACCGACAAAAGAAAAAGAGAGAGATTCAGTATCCAGAAAAGCACTTGCTATAGTCGAGCCATTAAAAGAAAAAAAAAGCATCATGAAAAAAAAAAGTCTACTGGAAAATAGGTAAAGTTAAAATAAATTCTGCACCAGCAATATGTTAAAACTCACAGCCCCCTGGTTGCATACAACTCACTCTCTCTATCTGCAGGGGGACTGGTTCCAGGACTTCCCTGTTCTCCCCACCCCATACCCAAATCCATGGATGCGCAAGTCCCTTATATAAAATGCTGTAGTATCTGTAGATTACCTGTGCACATTCTCCAGTACACCTGAAATCATCCCTAGAATTGCTTGTAACATTGAAAACAATAGGAATAGTTGTAACTACAAGGTAAGTGCTATGTAAGTGGTTGCCAGGCGTGTGGGAAATCCAGCTTGGCTTTTTGGCACCTTTGGAATTTTTGTTCCGAATATTTTCGATCCCCGTTTGGTTGGCTCCGCAGATGTGGAACCGGCAGATACAGAGGACTGCGTGTCTAACCTAGTGGTAGTTACGCTTTTGTTTAGTCTCCCTTGGATTTGTGCTTTCTTCCTCACAGCGGACCCGCCCACGTAGGCTTCTACCGCGGGGCACTTTGAGACCCATCTCAGATATTGGATGAGCAGGTTTTGAGCACAATGCTTTCAGTGTCCCACAGCCATCCAGCTGCTTCATAGAAGCACCGGACTCTTGAGCTGTAATCGTAAATAGATACCAATTTTTTCTCATGAAAAAGTCCATGAGAAATAGATAAACAAGATTATACTTTAGAGCACAAGGAAATATATACAAGATCTTGTGGTAGCTCACAGTGAAAAAGAATGCGACAGTGAATATATGTATGTTCAGGTGTAACTGAAAAATAGTGCTCTGCACTGAAAACTGACACAACATTGTAAACTGACTATACCTCAAAAAAAAAAAGTCCATGAGAAACGTGGAACTTATTCATTCATTCATTCAGCAGTATTTTTGGAGCACCATCTATGCTGTGCTCAAAGCCTTGGGAATATAGCAGTGAACAGAAAACTGCTACCCGAATGCACTGGTGGAAGGGACAGATAATAAATGAGTGAACAAATATTTTTATCACATAACACCAGAGTAAAGGGATAGAAACAAGTTCTGCTTTTTGAAATTTTAAATAATCTTTAATTATTATTCTATTGACGTGTAGTTGATTTTCAACATTTCAGGTGTACACAAAGTGATCCAGTTATACATACATGTATATTCTTTTCCAGGTTCTTTTTCCATTATAGGTTATTACAAGATGTTGAATATAGTTTTCTGTGCTATCCAGTAGGTTTTTGTTTATCTGTTTTACATATGGTAGTATGTATCTGTTAATCCTAAACCCCTAATTTATCCTTCCCCACTTCCCCTTTGGTAATCATAAGATTGTTTTCTGTGTCTGTGAGTCTGTTTCTGTTTTGTAAGTTCATTTTGTATCATTTTTTCAGTTTTCACATATAAGTGGTATCATATGATACTTATCTTTCTCTTTCTGACGTTATTTAGTGTGATAATCTCTGGGTCCATCCATGTTGCTGCAGATGGTGGTATTTCATTCTTTTCTATGACTGAGTCGCATTCCATTGTATATGTTTACCACATCTTTATCCATTCATCTGCCAATGCACAATTAGGTTGCTTCTATGTCTTGACAATTCTAAATAGTGCTGTTAGGAAAATTGGTGTGCATGTATCTTTTTGAATTATTAGAGTTGTATTTCCCGGATATATGGCCAGGAGTGAGATTACTGGGTCATATGGCAACTCTGTCTTCAGTTTTTTAAGGAACCTCCATGCTGTTCTCCACAGTGGCTGCAGCAAATTGCATTCCCACCAGCAGTGTAGGAGGGCTCACTTTTCTTCCCTCCCTCTCCTGCATTTATTATTTATAGACTTTTTGGTGGTGACCACTCTGACCCATGTGAGGTGATGACCTCATTGTGGTTTTGATTTGCATTTCTCGGATAATTAGTGATGTGGAGCATCTTTTCACGTTGGCCATCTGGGTGTCTTCTTTGGAGAAATGTCTGTTTAGCTCTTCTGCCCATTTTTCGATTGGGTAGTTTGACAAGCGCTGTTTTGAATAGGATAGTCAGGCATGCCTCTTCAAGGTGGGTCGGGGGGTGGGGACCAAATGAAGGGTCCTGTATCATGTGTACATCTAAGGAAAGGACGGACCAGGTAAAGGGAACCATAGATGCCAAGGCCCGAGGCTTGTGATTTCAAGGAACAATAAGAAAGCAAGTGCAGTTACAGTAGCAAGAGCAAGGTGGAAAATACTAGCCCCGGCCGTGCATGGAGAGCCCATAGGAAGGATTTTAGGTTTTAAAAGGATTATTGCAAGGCTTCTGTATGGAAAATGAAGGCCAGGGTGGGCTAGGGTGGATGCATAGCAAGAGTGAAACTGGGCAAAGGAGCTAGAAGATTATAGCAGTAATCCAGCTAGGAAGACCTTGGCTTGGATCAGGGTACCGGTGGAGTTGGCAAAGGCAGTCAGTTTCTGGATATATTTAGAAAGTAGGGCTGGTAGGATTTGTGGAGGAGCAAGTTTGGGGAGGATGAGCAAGAGTTCTGCCGAGGACAGGCTAAGCTGGGAGAGCTCGGTTGGCCCCGCTGCTGTCACACGGTCAGGAGATCCGAGGTGAAGTTGGGACTTACAATGGCAGTCCTCACTGTAGAAGAGGTGAAGTTTTGGGCGAATTGTAGTGGAGTAAGTTGCTAGGGTAGTTAGCGTGCTTGTTCTTTTCTTGAGTTGCTAGTAAGTTATATATAAATAATATAAATTCATGGCCACCATTTGTATTTGAACATAACCTTTGGTGAGCTGTATCTGAAAAACCTTCTTAGATACAGTGTTGTGAGATACCAGTTCTGCTGTATATTTTGCCCTCTAGGAAATCCAGTGACTGTAGTCACTTTGATTTGGGTGTGAGAGTTTTTCTTACACGACAAGCAAAATTTTGCCAATTCCTGACCTTGGCACTTTTCTCATTCTGCACCCTCAGGTGGTCCTTATAGAGACTGGACGCCAGGGGGAGCTAGTGTCCTTGCTTACGCCGCGGTGCCTGGCCCACCTGTTGGAGATTGTAGCGCTCACATTAACATCTATATTAAAGATAAATCTGAAAACCAGGACAGTTTCTCTTTTCACATTTTTCACATTTTTCAATGAAATGTATACTTATAGGAGTGACACGTACCATGTCTGGATTGTCTTTAAATTAGTCATTTTAGGTAATGCTCACAACCATTTAAAAGGTTAAAGCTTCTAAGCTCTAGAGGCCTATGAGCGAGCCTCCTGTCTGGGAACTTTCAAAAATAAAGATTCTGGATCCTCTCTGATTTAGAGTATTTGAGGAGTGCAGAATCTAAATGTAATAAACATGTCTAGGTGTCTTGAATGGATGAGCAGGTCACAGGAATGGAGTTAGAACCCATTTTCTGTTTTATCACCAGGTATTAAGCTAAAGGAAAGGCAAATAGGTGCCCGAAAGCTCCGTTAACCATTCTTGGAGCGGAAAACGAATAACTTTGTTAAAAGGCTTGGAAACATTTCTCAGTTCAGGATGAATTTGTCTTAGACGAGCATGTGACCTTAACTTTTTTTTTTACAACTGGAACACTTTCACTTCGGGGAGGGAAACAGTCCACATTTATAGTGAAGTTGCTCGGTCTGCAAGGCTGAAGCAAAATCTCCTTAATCACAGGAAATGAAAACGGAGACTCTGCCATTAGCTCTTTAATCTTTCCTGCCTTTGGCACCTGTGGTCCAGGAATCGCTTTGAGCAGAGTCATCCTTTCAGACCTGGGCCGCCGGTGGTCCCTGTCGGTCCCAGTGTCACTGATTCATGGAGCAGGCCCACGGGCCACATCCAGGCTACTTGCCTGTTTGTCTTCACAGCCTGAAAGCTAACAATAGTTTTTACATTTTTATGTTGGAAAAAAATCAATGATATTTCATAATGTGTGAACACTTTATGGAATTCAGATTTCAGTATCCTTAAATAAACTTTCATCGAGACAGCCAATGCTCGTTCTTTGCATATGGTCGGTGGCTGTTTCACCCTCCAGAGGCGGAGTCCCAGGGCCAGCAAAACCTTAAATATTTACTAACTGGACCTTGACAGAAGAAGTTCGCAGATCTCTGGCATGGAGAGTCCGTGCTGTTTACTTAGAGGTTAGACCAGTTTTGGGGACTGCTCTGTAACTGCCTACGGCTAGTCTTTAACTGTTTTCACTTAGTACTTTTGATAGGCTTAGCCACCGCTCTGTGGCTACTGTGATATCATTCCATTCACTCATTCTTCTTTTATGAAATAACGACGTTCAGCAAACACGTCTGGGAAAAGTTTATGCGTCTCTAGTAGAGTTAAAAGATTTTGCTGAAAAAAAAGAAGATTTTGCTGAAAGGTTTTTAAGAACATTATTTATTTGAAGTGAACCCTCCTTAAGTTTTTATAACTTCAGTTGGATCCAACAGTGAATGCCCGGAAGTCAATAAAAAACGAATCCCTCTTTTTAAATAAAAAAAGCCATATATTTATTGCAAATCTAGAAGTACCAGAATGTCACTAATACAGAACAAATCAGCAATCCTGCTTTCATTTTCTTCCAAACATGTAAAACCTTGATTACTGACATACTGAAATTGGCATACAGTTTTTTTTTCATGCAGTTAACAGAATGGACATCGAGCGGATCGCTCAGAAACCAGTTATAAATATTAAGTTGTATTGAACATTCATAGTAAAAAATGTGGTAAAGTGCTGAAGTCACGGAAGTCTGCAAAACTGCCACAAGCTCCAAGTCCTTCTCTGGCAGTGACAGAGATTTGCTACATCCACCTTGTCTGTGGTGTGTCTGTTTTAGACGGACACTTTGTCATTTCCTCCCCTGCCCCCCCCCAAAGTTTTACAGATTGTCCTATTTCTATGGCTGATCAAATGCTGTACAAAATGTAGCAGGTGGTGATGAACTATATGTCACTTTCATTTCAGTGCAGAGAAATATTCAAGCTTGTGTGTACCTGTAACCAAACTAGGCTTGTTATATTTTTTTTCCCCCTGAGTTGTCATAAATTAACAGTAAATGATGAATAAAATGGAGCAGCGGTACTGACCATCACCTGCAGAGTGAGATTCAGGACACAGGAGTCCACCTGTTATCCTCACACTTGCCCTTTTACAGAAAAATACGCACATAGAAATACTATACATGTAGTGTAACTCCAGAAAGACAATGACCAGTTAACCCGATAACTCTGGCAGCACAGAGCAATCAAGGTTTATATATGACGTAAATTGCAACCTATAACTCGTGATGGTAAAACAAATGTCTCTGCCACCCCATGTGAAATACAGAAATGCTTCAACAGTTAGACGTATTTTTTTTTAAAAAAATCAGAAATGCTTTAACAATTCCATGAAATATAACTCTGATCAAAGAAGATCCTCAAGTATTCTTAGGCAATAAAACAAATCATTTTAAAAAGCTAAGGCGATTTGCTCTTGTCTCCCCCTCCCCTCCCGCCCCTTTAAATCACACACGTTGCCTTTTATCAAATTGAAGAATCATTACAACTTGGCCTTTTATGAGAGTAACTTTACAAGTTAAGACATATTCTTTGAGGCATTTAAAGGATTGCAGAAAGGAGGTAAAAATTCTGCTTATGTCTCAAATTTTCTTTCTTTTGATTACTTTAATCATCCTAGAATAACTTAATAATAAATAGTGGTTTAAATTAAAGACACTACAATCATATATTTCTGAATAATTAAAAGCAACAGGAAACACATTTTTGAATGTCATGTTGTGTATTCTGTATTGAAATACTTCTGGTAATGACTGGCCTTAAAAAGAAGTGGTAATCTTCACATTTATGAAGTTCAAGTTACATATATTTTAAAAATTTCCATTTGTTAGCCAAATGTTTGGTCTTAAGCTATACTTCACTTCCATGGAATATTTGGAAAATCAAGAGGCCCGAATCTGTGAATGGAAACCTCAGTATTTTTCAAAGGGTTTTAAACAATTTGTTCATATTTCTGAAAATGAGAAATTTTTAAAATGATGATGCAAGATTTTTTTTTTTCTTTTTTGGAATGGCTGATTTCACTTCAATGGCCTGGGCCAGGTGTCATTTTCTAATAAGATAGTAGTTTATCACATGTGAGAGCCCTTAAAACCACTTTGCCAATTCATGTCACTATTTTAAAACCAGAATGTGAACCAGAGTCCTCCTCTAGCTGTGTATTGCTACTGAATACAGCCAGGTGTATGTACGTACGGAAAGGGTGTTTGGTTGTCTTTGTTTTGGCTGAAAAAACAAGCAAAAAAGGAAAATTTAAAAGAAAGAAGAAAAGGATGTTGGTCATGGTGTTCACGGATACATTCCCTTTAAAGTGTAGTTTGCAAGCGGGTAGAGTGGTCAGCTCCTCCACCGCCCTCGGTCCCCTGGCCCCCCGCCCTCCCCAGCCAGCAGGGCGGCCCACGTGCCCTGGAAGGGCGTCATACGGGCTCCATTCTCACAGGAGCTTTATTCTCATTCTTCCCAAGGTCCATTTCCAGGAAGTCCTCGGGGATGTCGGGTAAAGTTTTCCCCCAACGGCTCTCGGCCCTCCTTTCCCGGGCGCGAGGCCGCCGGCACAGCCCCTTCTTGCACGGCCTCACGAGCGCCAGGCACACGGCGGCCACGAGCATGCCGGCGGCGCAGGAGTAGAAGGCTCTGCTGTAGATCTCGCTCTGGTCCACCAGCAGACCTGGGAGGGAGCGCCAGCATCAGTTAGCGACACGGCCACCAACCCTCTCTCCCCCCAGGCTCCCCGCAAACTCAGCAGCTTCTTGAGTTCTTTGCCTTCCTAGCTTTATCTTGTTTTTTAAAGAAATAAAAGGGTGTGGAAGGTAGGAGTCTTGTCCCGACGGGAGAGAAAGCATAGACACACATACAGCACACTTAGCACCTGAGAAAACTCTGTCCGGGGTCTAATCGGTCCGGGGTCTAATCGGTCCGAGTCGAGAATCTACAAGGTGGGGATGGTTAGACGCGTGCTTCTTTGAAAAGGTGACATCGTAAGAGAGGAAAGAGTTAAGAGATACCTCGGGTATCTTTTAACATGCGGTGAAGCTTCTAATCACAGTAACCTTAAGGTCCCATTTCAGGTCTAAGGCATACCGCACACCCATGTCCTTCCTATGAGGAGACATTCTGTAGTGGTCAGTGAAGTCTCTGCAAAGTGTCGCTCTGTCTTCCAGTCCCTAAAACCCCTCTGGAGATGGGAAGATGGTTGACAGAAGCCCTTTAGTGTGTTATTCCAAAAGTCAGAGGGTAACGAAGTCATAAATCCATGCACACCTCGCCAGCATTTTATAGGGCGAAGTGGTAGGAAAAGAAAGCCTGGCCTCTTGGCTTGCAGACACAGGTTCTAATCCCAACCTGCTCACTGATTTACTGTAGGATTATCGGCTCATTCTCTGGCCTTCAGTTGCCTCATATTGAAGTCAAGAGAGTTGGCTCAGGTAATATCTATCCTGACACCTCTCAAGTTCTCTCTGCAAGTATAAAAATCAATTGATTTTTTTTTTGGAGGGTGAGACCCCCAACAGGGATGATAGCACAACTGACTAAGGGACTGTACACAAGGGTTTTACTTGGGGTACTTAAATTACCTGCAAGGGGTGGTCCGGCCAGTCCCGCTATACTCTGGAAGAAGACGTAGACTCCAGCCGCTGAGGACATCTTCTCGATCCCTACCACGTCGTCCTCGGCGAGCAGCGGAATGTGGGTCCCTGCGACCGTCCCGACCATAATCCCGAAGAATATGCTGCAGGACATCAGACCCCAGAACTCCGTCGCAAAAGTAAAGGCAAACAGAGACACAGTCAGCAAGACGACGCAGATGAGCTCGATGTAGATCTTACGGATGGGCTCTCTGTTCAGGACCAGACCCGCGCCAATCCTTCCAAACACTTCCGCGATCGCCATGGTGGATAATAAAAAAGCAGAGCGGTCCTGGTCAATGCCCAGACTGATGCCCAAGGGGATGATGTACAGAGAAGGTGCAAAGAATCCCAGGGTCACAAAGAGACCGAAGAACGCATAACAGATAAAACTCTTCTCCTTCAAGATGGAGAAGTCCAGCAGCGGGGCCTTGGGGTCGCTCTGCTTGGAGCCGGGTTTGCCCAGGATCTGCTGTAGGTCGGCCTTGGACTCCGGGTCCGTGTTTGTGTTACTAGGCACGTTTTTTGGTGAGGTAGTTAGTTCTACTCCTGAGTCAATGGAGTCTATGGAGGTGCGTGTTTTCTCGTTCTCGAGCATATACTGCGCTTCTCTCCGGCTGTCGTGGCTGGTGGCTTTCGGCGTCCCCGGCCCTCTGATCACGAGGGGTCTCAGCAGCGCTCCGCAGACGACAATGTTCAGCTGCAGGAGGCCCACGAACAGGAGACTGTATCTCCAGCCGATGCTCTCCTTCAGCGCCATGATGGCTTGGATAGGCGGGAGCGAGGGGGAAACAAAACCGGAGGTCAGGAATGGACACGAGACCCGGGAGAAAAGAGCAAGAAAGAATGGACCCAGATTTGGAAATGATTCAACACAGACGACTCAGCCGTGTGCATGCAGTCAGCAGGCACTCGGCTTCGTTCCGGGTTTGGGGGCTTTTATGAGTCAAGGAGGAGGAAGGCGTATAAAGAGGAACAGAGATGCAATAAAAGTTCTCAGCCCGGCGCTCCAGAAGAGCTTTGGAGGGGCCTCTAGCCAGTTAGAGGCACAAGAAAAATTTCAAACCGACAGAAAAGGGGAAATTACCCCTCTAAGTCTGCCAGCCCTTCACCTAAATTCAACAATTAACATTCTTCTCTGTCTGCCTGTCTGTATTTGTACACATACATTAATTTTTCTGAAACTATCTGAAAAGCTTCAGATGTTATGACATGTCACCCCCCAAATACTACAACACATATCTCCTTTGAACAAACCCACTGCAGTTCACCAACACATTCGCCCAGCAACGGCGGAGAAGCGGGGGAGGAGGAGGTGAATCTTATGTCTCCGAGGTTATCTGTCTACTAGTTGTTAGTGAAATTCACATGTTCACATTAAGATAGGGAACTAAACCAGGGATAAAAATCTCACTGTGAGAGTGTCTACACATGGTGAATGAAAGTGATTTTATTGGCACAATTTAAATCCATACTGAAGATGGCTCTTTTGACCAAGGAGAGAAATAGAATAGCATGAACAATCCGAAATCAACAGATCATCTCTTTGGGAACGGATGTTTTGAGCCATACCACTGAAACTGTGCCATGTATCTTCCTATTATGTAACCTTGGACCAGTATTAAAATGTTCGAATTCCTAAAACGGGGGTTAAGGAGGACAGACCTAAAAACGTGCTGGAGAAGAGAAGACCGTTGGCCTCTCTTTCTGCACGTGGCTGACGCCGCCTACGAGCTTGGCAATAACTAGCAGTCGGCAAAGGTCGGGGTGTGGAGGAGCCAGTCTGCTCCTCCCCGTGAACACGTGGACTGGGGTGGTCTACCTACCTGGTGCAAAAGCAAACATAGCGAAACATTCTCCCGTAGAAGCAACGGCCGTGACCACGGAGCGTCTTTTGTCAAAGTACTGTGACAGGATGGTGACAGTGGGGAGAAAACTGAAGCAATATCCCAGACCTGTGATGGAAAGTCCAAAACAGCAGTCAGAACCACGTGCTCATGGATGGCGGAAGGAGGCGTTCAGAGATCTGGGATCTGTGTGTTTATTTTTAAAACGGTGAGTTCTGGGAGCTCAGTCATTCGTTCTGGAAAACAGTGCTGTCGCAAGGAAAAACAGGTTTCCTCAGAGATCTGGAGAAACTGCAACAGCTCTTTTGGGGAAGCGAAGAATTTAAAAAAAAAACAACTTTTTTTTCCCCTACTGTTCTGCAATTTTTGCCCCAAATTTATATAATTTGCAATGATCAGACTATAATTTGATACATATTATAAAATGCAGTTTTATAATAGTTTTTATAAGACTTCTATTTGGAAATAAGTGAGCTTTGATATGTGCAGAATATATGAAAAAATTTTAAGTGTATAAATCTTAACTAAATATAGATGTGTATATATACACATACACATAATAATAGATAATCTGAGAGTAATGTAGGGACTCCTTTTAAAGGGAAAAAAGTTTTCTCAGACCCCTAAGACTAAGTCAAGAGTACAGCACCCTCCCCTCCAGGTCAGGATCCTCACACCCCAACTTGGGAAATCTTGGCTAAGGAAATCCAAATCTTCCTTTGTGAAAATGATATCTTTTGCCTGCAAACCATTGCAAAAGAGTTCTTGTTCTCATCGGTAAAGACTTGAAAAAAAAAGTCAGACAAAAAAATCTTGGGCATTGAGAAGCGGTTCCCCTACCGCCGGAGTCCATGCAACCCAGGTCAAGACCATGGATCTGGGACGCTATTAATGGTAAAGAAAGAAGAGAAAGCCAGAAAGAAGTACACTTTTGCATCTCTTCTTCCTCTTCCTTGTTCTTCAAACTAAGCATCTGGAGAAACTGTAAGCCCAGAGGGAACACTTACCAGAGATGATGCCGATGGTGATGTACATCTGGTAAACCGCCTGCGAGAAGGCTGCTATCACCATCCCTGTGCTGACCAGCAGCCCTCCCGCCATCACCACCAGACGGTGTCCAAAACGGGAGCTCAGGACAGTGGAGAGGGGAGCTGTGTTAAGAGAGCAGAACGTGGTATTTTAACTCCTGGAGGCGTGCGCATTTACTTTCATTAGATCCCATCCTTTAAGCCTTGACCATGGAGGCACGATGTAAGATATATAACACATTCTGTGCAACGGTTCCTGAAAGTCAGTTCAGCTCTTACTGTAGTATTTGCTCAAGCCGGACATATATTTGGTGGTGGTGGGGGGCTCCTTAAAAAGAAAGCCAAAGTAATGGATAAAACTTACATCTGTATTGTCAGATGAAAGATTTAGACTCTCCATGAGCACCTATACAATTAGACATGCATTACATTTATGCTATTCTGTAATAAAAATGGGCTTTCCTAGGAGCATGAGTCTTTTTCTTTCTTTCTTTCTTTTTTCTATACTCACTGCTTTGGATTCTTTTTAAAAAGGCTCCATTTAGGGTCAAATTCTAGCTTAGTTCCATTTGACTTTTCTGCAAATGATATAAGAGTATGGTGAATTCCATCATGCATACCAGAGGGAGGACAGAGAATTCAGAGTGGCTGATGAATTACAATTGGCGTAGCTTCCATGCACGACATCCCCTCGGACATTTAAATCTGGAAAATTAGTTTCCTAGTTATATGTTACTCAGGCTACCGCTGATACTGACTTGAGTCCAATGAGATAAGGAGCCATCAAGAGTTGCGGGGGGGAAGGAAAAACAAGACAGTGCATGCTGGATAGAAAGAGCAAAGAAAAAAAGGACTAAATTTTGTTGGGGGTTGGTCCATACATAGCTCTTATGTTAGCTGAACACTAACATGCTAATATCATGCATATAATGACACCATCAGCAGCATTGTTTTTAGGCAGTGTGTTGCCTTAAAGCGTTACCTACCAGAATAATAGCATTTAGAAGAACTATCCTCTGGATAATCTGATATTGTATTAACTGGAAATTTCTTGTGGACTGTATTATCTTTGGTTAGAAAAGTTCAAGCTTTGGGATTTTCTTTTTATTGAGATTACCAGATGTAAAATCTTGGTTCTAATTCGTATCTTTCCGAGAAAGTAAACATCCCGTGATTTAAAAAATTAAGTATCTGAATGCTTAAACTGGAGCTCGGAGTTCTGCAGTGAAACTTGTAGGAGATGGTATCAGGACTCCTGAGAGAAATTCTGACTTTTCTCAAAAGCAGAGAACAGTGGAGCTGCCTCTTTAAGATAGTCTACAGCAGGAAACGAGCTACACTGAAAGACGGGCTTAGAAAACGTCAGCGACAATCGTCCCATGACAGGGTATTAGGGTAAAGTTAGGGAAATCTGAGGTGAGTTCAACGTCCTTGCTTTCTCAGAAAACCCTACGGTGGCCCCTGACAGATGGGCGGACTGTCATGAAGACCACTCAGACATGTGGAATTAGGTCCGGATATGGGGCCAAGTGAAAATCAGTTTGTTAAGAATTCTACTACACCCCTATTTTATTGGATGCTGTTGGCTTTGGGAGCACGGTACACCTATTAGCCAGGGAAGTCCTTTAGGGACACAGGTGTTTGGAATTTGGAACGTCCCCCCCGGACAACGTTTATAATTTTCCATGATACCCTTTTACACCTTCCATCTTTCTTCCTCATGTAGCCACATCTTCATGTTTCCAAACTGTTTCCTGAGCGTGTTTTTATGAGCCCAGGGAGGGCCCAGGAGGCAAAGTACGTTTGATGGTGCTTCTTTAGGAAATGACTACATTCCCACCGAACTGGGGTCTACTGCTGTCTTCAAAATAACCTACGGTAACTGCACCTGAGGGGCCGTTTCTCCAAAATTACCTACGGGATCCTAAGAGAGTGCATACGGTAGGCGTTTAACACGTGTGTTAACCCGAAGGCAGTCACATCTGACAAATAGGCTTTTTTCTCTGGTACCGCTTATCTCTTGCCATCCCCAACCCCTGAAAACCAGATTACTTAATCGAGGCTGGAAAGGGCCAACAGGTCATCTAAGGAGAAACATCACGGCACAGTGAGCGCCGTTGCACAATAAGACGCACCGAACGTTACACAATAAGGCAGACTGAACGAGGCACGTGCTTACAGAGCGTTCGAACTGAAAGATGTACTAACCTGTAAATGTTAAGACAAACACACAAATTGATATTATCCACGAGATCCTGCTGTTAGATTCATCGAAACTGTCCATTAAGTCATTAAAGAAGACACCGAACGACTTGATGATGCCATAGGTGAAGACTTCAACGAAGAAGAAAGAAACAGCGACCACCCAGCCCCATCCTCCATCAGGCACTTGAGTATAAACATTGGCTCTGGAACAAAGCTGTGATTTCTTTTGGGTCATTCTTAATCTGAAAGAAAAAAAAAGTTGAAGAAAAAAGTTCAGACCAGCAACGGCACGAGGCTGGATGAGTCTAACACTCTTCAGTACATGTAACAGGTAAGCACAACTTACCGCACTTCTTAGGTTGATGAATATTTGAATCATGAGCAGTTATTATAAAGTCTTTGAATAATAACAGTATCTATCCATCTATCCACCCATCTATCTCTTGTATGTGGAGCACCCAAAGATTTTGGGAAGTTGGGCTTCCAAGCTGTGGCAGTTAAATGGGAAAAACTAACTAAGCCAACATAAGGAATCCGAGCAGAATATTTAGAGACACACTGAAGGACAAAGAGTGACCACAAGACCAAGTATCGATGCTGACCTTGAACCTGAAGACAAGTCAGGTGAAGGAAGACTGAACTGGCCATAAGGACTGAGGAAAAGAGAGGCTAAGACGACACTGATAGTACGTCTAGCACTTTCCACGGGACACATGCTTGGACATCCTGTGCATCTCTACCTGGTGCCACTGGCCATCCCAACCATCCAGCCACCTCTCCTCCATCCCGCTTCCTACTCAGCAACATTCTGATGAGCTAGGGTCCCATGTGGATGTACCTACATGGACAGAACGTGACCATAAATCAAAATGTGGGACTTCTGTCTTCTGGGAGTTGGTCTGGGGTGAGTGAGCTCCTCCAAGTTGGTCACGACGTGGTGTATGAGAAACTGAATTTCTACACACTAGACAAGTACTCTGGAATATAGTGACCGAATCAGGCCACCAGTGTGCAGGGTCTGGACAGCCAGTGAACTTAACTGGGTTACCCCTGCTTCCCTGCTCAAATGGCAACAAACATCAAAACAAGCAGACCTGTGGCGCCACACGACTCAGACACTAGATTTAACACTGGAGGGAGGGCCGTTTAAGCTAAGTCTTCTGTGATGGGCTCTAGCCCCCTAAACACTGACATTTTCAAAACCTTGGCAACTACGTATACTTTGAAACAGTCATGGGTGTTTTTAGCCCAACTAAAAATTAATCTCTCTCATAATAAATGAGCCCATGGTCTGAGAGCTCGTAATGGCAACCCACCTTGAGTTTAAGAATTCTCTACAGTGACACAGTGATCCAGGTGAATTTCCAGGATGCGTGTGTACCCTTTCCCTAGCTGTGAGGTGTGTTCACAGACTGAGGCAGGTTTTATTGATAACGGAGGGTGACTGAAAAAAGCATAAAACTTCATCTTCCCCAGCAGTCTTGCCAATTTCTGATAAGAGGACCAAATATTCTGAATTTGCTCTAAGAATCTTAAGAAGTAGCAAATCTGGCCTAGTTTCATATTGTTCATCCTACGGACAGCACCATCCCTATAGCAGCCTAGCGCTTGGGAAGGACCGTCTACTTACTTTTCGCTCTATTACGGTTAGATATTTGGTTGCATAAAATAGGGCAGGAGATGCTTTAAGAAGCTTATGCTCTCTGCAGCAAAGGCCTTTGCATTTTGATGCATGTCAACGTGTCATCCCCAAGAGCAGGGGCAAAGGCGGGAAGGGCCGTTAAGTAGCTCAGGATGTCAGCTAAGCAACCATGGGACAGTCTGTCCTTAGTGTTCCCAGCAGGAAAGCAACTGATTTAGGATGGGAACCTGGAGCCTTCCAGCAACGGAGGTTTTCACAAGATCCCTCCTTTGTTAGACTTTCAAAATGCACCCCCAAGGTGAGGCAGCTGGGGTAGAGGAGTGACAACAGTACTGGCTTAAGATGGAGAAGACCAGGGAAAAAAAAAGGTATTTGCCAGTGTTGGCCTCAGCATTGTACTCATCCCTCGGGAGGCGGAGTAGGAGGGAAGGAGGGGGAAGAGGAATTGGTGAGCCCACCGCTCAGGTCCTCAGCCTTCATCCTCCCATCTCATACCCCGACCAGGCCATTCCTTTGAGCCCAAGATTTCGTTACTGGTCTCTTAACAGGCTCCACGTGTCCAGCACAATTAATCTTTTTGAAATGCTGCATCGCCATGACATGCTTCTCCTCACATTTTCTCCGTGGCTGTCCTCTTTCTGAAGGATAACATCCACGGATCATGAGACACACCGCCCACCCCACCCCCCGGGTGTCTGTAGCCTTATTTCTTCCTGTTCAATGACTCGACTCCCCTGTCATGACCAAAAGGGACTCCTCCCTGCCTCCTGGTCTCTCACCATCCTGCCTGTGGCCAGGCCCTTTTCCCCAGGCTGGAGGGAGGCCCCCTTCCAGCTGGCACTTGTAAGACCTGCCCCATCAAATCCTCCTACTTCCATAATGCTTCCTCTGATCGACTCAACCTAAGGGGCTCTCTTTGTGTGACAAGTATTATTTGAACAATGGGGGGTATTACTGACTTGTATGCATTTATCTTAGTTGCGCAATTAAATTGTAAGCTCATAGAAAACAAAATCTGGGGTCTCTATCTCTTTGTATCCCTTTGCCCCTAAGTACCTTGCATGTGGCTTTTATTTATTTTTTTCAACAAAGTACCTACCAGGTGCCAGGGCCTTTGCCAGGCACCGGGGGACATGACTGAAAATACAGAGAGATGGCCTCTGCCTCCAGGAACTTAACCGTTTGTTGATGACAAGGATCAGGAACCTTAAGACTGAAATCTATCACATTTTAAAACCATTCAGCCATGTCCTTCTGGAGTTCAGCACATTTCTGACAAGCAGTCAAGACTGAGTGGCTACTAAGTCCTTAAGGTTTTTTTTTTCAAATAGGACTTTTTTTTAACCACTGCATTCTCTAAAAAAATTTTTTTCTTTATTTAAATGGAGGTACTGGGGATTGAACCCAGGACCCTGTGCATGCTAAGCACGTGCTCTACCTCTGAGCTATACCCACCACCCTGGGCACCTGTAAGATCTTAAGTTTTAATACAGGGCTCAGGACCAACTTGAATAAAAACATACTGGGCTAAAATGTGATACAGGCCCCCTAGAGACAAGCTGAATCTCTCTCTAGCCTAAAATCACTGCAGGAGCAAGACACAGAATCTTTTTGTCGGGTTGCATTGAGATCAGCAAGAGAAGACTGCAGTTTTTCTCTGAAGATGAGATTCCCACCCATCGCAAGGCTCTGGGTCAGGCCAGAGCTTCAGCTCTGGTGACAGGCGCCCAGGTCACTCTCTTTCTTTGCCTGCTGCTGTCAGTGGTTTGAATGTGCAGGATAGGTGGCATTGGGAGGAACCCGCAGCCCCGGGATGGAGTTAGAATCACAGAATGTTAAAACTGAAAGGAAACTGGGAGCCCATCTTTGGTCCATCTCCTCTTTGTAAAATCCCACTCACAAACTGAGCCCCAGAGATGGGAAGGGACTGGACCAACATGGTCCAGAATCAAATCTCCTGCCTCCCAGGGCCCTGCTGTATTAGGACACAGAACAACATTTAGAAGTCCAGGGAAGGGGGTGTTTTATATAGAGATTTTGAGGAATCAATTTCTTTCAGAGATAAAAGCTCTCCTGGCCTTCGTGTGTAGAAATCTGTGAGAACTCTTTCACTACTTAACTGTGTGACCTGGAGAAAGTCACTGCACCTCTCTGGGCCTGAATGCCTCAAATGAAGAGGTTGGACTTGGGAATCCTTAAAGCTCCCATCCACCCAGCTTTGGCAGCTGACACCTGAGTTCTCAATCACCTGATTCCCCAGGCCAAACCTGGTGGCCCGAGGAGACCTGGGAGCTAGAAGGAAAGTGCAGATGTCAGCTGGTTCTTGCAAACGTGGGTGTAAAGGACTCGGACGTTGGTTAGATCTGATCTCAGCTGGTTGGAAGATGGTGGACTTTTGATTGCTCTACTTTTGTTTACTTTCTGAGCTCCTCTGGAGTGTTCAATTCTTTTTTATTTTTTTAACTTTGCTTTACATCTGTTCTACTCTCCAGGAGCTAGATCCAAATATAACTTTCACCTGCATTCTTAGGATTTTGGAGGACAGCTTTTTTTTGGTTGTTATTGCTGGGAACATCATAAAGGAAAGATGACACCCCAGCACCCACTCTTACTCCAAAGTTTATGCCTTCATCCTCCTAAAGCATCTTATGCCCTAGTATCTACATAGCTCTGAAGACCACCATATAGAATGATAATAGAATAACCTGGTTTTCAAAACATACTGTCTGATAACATCTGAATTTGGCACGCAGGGCCACCTACGGGGCAGTAAGCTGCTCTTTCCAGACCCCGTGCTTGGCAGTGTGCTTGGCACATGATATATGCTCAATAAAACTTCACTTGAACAAAGTATGCGTCTTGGGGCGCTCCTGATGCAATGCGCCACTCTATCCTTGTAAAACCCAGTCACCAAGTGAGGAAGTCCCTGCTTGCAGAATAAATCCTTCCCTGGCCTCTCCTTTCCTTTCTGCCTGTTCACCCAGCAGACCAACTGGCTTAGCAAAGGGTCAGCGTCTACAAAGCAGGAAACAAAGGCCTGCTGCTTAGAGGGCTCTGTAAACTCGAGGACATGGAAATGTCTGTTTTGGCTTTATGGGCATGTGAATTTATCTGATGGGAAGGGATATTAGTTTACTGTGTGGGGAGATAGTGGGTGAGGTAAGCTGAGCGACCCTGCGGCCTTGGGAGAATCACTCTGCTCCCTTTCAGTGTCATCAAGAAGTGAACAGGGGAACTGAACTAGACTGGGATGATCTCAGATCTCTTTCTGCCCTAAAAATCTACATTTCTCTGATAGCCTTTGACCCTGACTTGCTCTAAGTTACCCTTTCATCTTTCTCAGTTCGTGTTGGGAGTCCTCTGACACCAGGCCCATGGGTTTGTCTTCTTGAGGCCCTTCTGCGTTATTTGTTGAATTTCTCTTTACCATGAACTGGCTGCACAATCTTGGGGAAATCACTTAATTCCTAAATTTCATCCTCGGTAAAAGCAGGGGTGAGACAGACTGCTGTGGAGGGTAAAATGCCATGATTCTGAATGAGGGTTCCCGGCAGCCATCTCTCCTTCACCCTGCTTCCAAAGCAAGTATAACAACAAAATTCACAGGCACTTTGGAGTATTTCCTATAAGCATTTGGTCAGCTAATCTTAAATAAATGAGTATCCTGCCAAAACTGAGAAATCTGTTATATCTGGGAATTTCACTGCAGTTGGATTTGTTGAGAAAAAGCTTTGCTCTAGAGGCATGAAGAATGCAAAATATTGGACTATTATAGACCATCAGAGTGTTAGTCCAGGGTCAGTTCAGAGCAAAGTTCAAAATGCAGGCTTTGGATGGAAGTGGTGATGGCTGCTGGTGCAGCCAGCGTTGAGCAAATCCTCAGCTAACGCACTGCCAATCTCCATTCTTCTTAAAGGCGTAGCCTGGAGAACAGCTTTCGACAAGTTGTTTCCAGCCCTAGTTGTCAAAACCAGTCTGTATTTAGGTAAAGTTCATTTCGATTCTCTTATTAAGAAAAAAAAATCCGAATCCTAACCTGGACAGCCACCTCAGCAGCTGTGAATCACTGGATAGAACCGATTCATCCATTTTACAAGATGATGGTGTTGAAACCTGAGCCCCTAATTTAAGTGTCCTCCTCAGGAGTTCCACTGAGGAAAGTCCTTTTTGGGAAACCACAGAAGGAAAACTCAGGGTTAGTGGTACTCATTAAGATAGAAGGAGCTTTTCCACTTGGCTGCATTGTTTATTTACATACTGTAACTCTCTATCTTGGACGCGTTTCCCTTAATTATGAAAAGAGGTATTTCTATACCCACCAGGCAGGATGTATTGTTGACCCCAAAAATGCCACGTACTGGTGCTTGGCACATGGGAGATGTATCACTTAGAGCCACTTAGAGATTTCTGCATAGTACTTGGTTATTTTGTTGTTGTTTCTGTTGTTGAAAACAAGACCCTCCACTTACTATGATTTGCAAAACAGTAAGGGTACTGAGAAATCTCATTCCCAGGGAGGAAACCATCTCCTTCGAGAAAGCGCTGGCACGGAGTGTCTAGAACTGTGCAAACAAAACCAGCTTCCAGGTTGACAAGTTGTAATTGCTCTTCCCCAGTTAACTCCAGGGAGCTTTTTCTAAGACTAATGCCCCCCGTATTTGGTGACATTTTCGTGTCACCGATGAAACTTCTATCACCTGTCTGTCTGCTGCGATAGCATGGGTGTTTAGGTTTTTAGAAAGAAAGAATGGAATAAAGAAAGAAAGAAAGAAAGAGGACGAACAGAAGGAAATAACCCATTTCCTCTGCAAAACCATCCTCCCTCGCTAGAGAACCGCTCAGCTACACGGGCGCTTTCCTGTGGTTGGCAGCCCCGGGAACCTTGGAAGTTGAACGGGACCAGCCTTCAGCCGCTGACAGCTCTGACGGTCAAGGTGGACGATCTGCTCTCAGCAGGGAAATCCCTGACTTCCCTGGGAGAAGGGGGGTGTCACGCTGGCCACCCCCGGTGTGTGTGTGTCGGGTGAGGGGCGACCGAGAACCCCACTTTCCCTCGCACTGCCTCCGTGGCCGCCCTGCGTGCGCGCGCGAGCCTGGGGAAGGTACCTCTGACATTTCGCTCTTGTGACGCGCAGGCAACTTCATGCGGAAAATCCATGCTGGGGGCTGAGCACGGCGCCCCCACTCGCCCGACGGCCCGCAGCCCCTAACCCGGGGCCGGGGGCACTAAAAAGGCCAAATCTGCCTTTTGGGTATTTTCCGGACCCCAACTGTACCGGAGCCACCGACATGCAACTCTCGGCTGCCCACACTGGCGAGAGCGCGTCATCCCGGTGGCCCTGAGCATTCCCAACTGTCAAAGAGATTTTTTCGGAATAACCTCTCCAAAATGTTAAGCTGTTAAGTGGTTTCCTCTTCCTCCCTCCAACCTTCCCACCACCCTCCAAAAACTCCCAACACAGATTAAAAAAAAAACCCCACACCCCACCATTAAACTTTTAAACATGTAAAATAATAAAACCAACTCACCAAGTTAGAAGGGAAGAGAATAAACCCCAAAAGGCTCCCAATAAGGCGGAGGCTTGGCCTCCCCCTCCTTATAAGCCGCTCGGTAACATGAGAAAGGATTAACCCCTTAGGGCGTGGGCCTGAGCCTATGGCAAGTTGGCTCCGGCGGGTGAGCACCGGGCGCCCGGCCCACCGGGCCCCGGCCCCGGCCCCCACCCGCT